AAATATACTTTAAAGTTTGTGTAATGATAATAATGATAATATTTCACTTTGTGAAAATGTTAGGGGCCAGGTTTTGTTTTTGTTTTGTTTTTTTCACATAAAGAATAGTTGAAGCAGGACTCTAAGAAGCAATTCTGAAATACTGAGGAAGTGGCCATGAAATGGATTTTGATTTAAGCCATTTGAGTCTTCCTGTGATCATTAAAACAAGATAATTAGGATTTTTAATAAAAGTATTTTTGCTCCGGTTCCTTTGACTTGTGTTAAATGAAGAGCACTTATTTACTTTCTGGAGATGCATTTTCGCGCCAACCTAAAAATCCACTCACTGTTTAGTTCAGCTGCAGCCTCAAACATCTAGAACATCTCAAACCTCCAGGTCCATGTGCTTTTTTATATCAATAAGAATAAAATTTAATATGTCATATCTGAGGCCATTTTTAAATAATTTAATTCTATAATTTAGCGAATAATTTAATTTAATTTAAATAATTTTAACCCCTCATTATAAAACATGAAATCCAGAGAGTAGGAGTTCTATAAAGTTTCATGTTTTGATTTTGACTGTATCAGTAGTGATGCAGACACTGTGCTGTAATGTTCAGTGATGTCCAGCAGAGGGCGCAGCAGCTGTGGGGATTTTCCCTTTAACTCTGCAAAGTGTTGACCTTTGACCTCTGAGCTCCACCTCAAATTTATGACATCACAGGACAATCCCAGGCCTTCCTGAAGGAGGCAAAATGTGGACCAATCCACATTCAGCTATGCTATGAGTCACAAGGAGGTCAAAGGTCAGGCACAATCAGCAGCATGTTGACAGAAACTCTGTAATGTATATGTGTGTGTGTGTGTGTGTGTGTCTGTTTCCTGACTTCCAGGTGTTTCCTGACTCCACCTTCTCTTGTTTTATAGACACACACACACTCAAGCTCGTACTGCTATCCTTGTGAGGACCCTCCCTGAGATAATAGAGTCACATGTCCTTGAAAACCAGAAATGACCCCTCCAGCAGTCCTTTAAAGGTCCCAAAGGAGGACTGCCCACAGTCCTCACAAAGACAGAGAAACAATAGACACACAAAGCAGTTTTTTTTTTTTTTCCACTTCAGAGGACGTCACACAACTTTCCCGGGACTCCCACCCTAAAGTCCTCACCCAGAAACGGAATAACCTGTCTTATGGGGATGTGGTTTTTGTCCGTTAAAGGAAGTCAAGTCGCCACAGCATGACTGTGTAAACAGCATAAAACACACACAGGCACACTTGTGATGTTTTACCTTAAACACACATACAGAAAGACACAAGATAAGAACGTGTTTACTCATCAAACAGAGAAGTTAATTGACTTTAATCACACTGTGGTGCTGTTCAGTTTTAAGCATTACACAGAGATGTATTTCTTATATTTCGCTCTGCCCATTAACACAAATACAGTCCTGTATTTTTCAGACTTTTCCCGTTGTTAAGCTGATAGCTAAATTAACTATCAGTAGCTCCTGTGTGCAGTAAACCCATGAATGTGCACACAGCTCCCACTACTATACTCTGAACCCGAAAACTGACAGATTCTTAATGACGTTCTGCAACATCTGCTGAATCTAATGTAATGTATGCATTTTTATTATAGTGGACATCAAAAGCGATGGTTTCTGTAAAAAATGAAGATCACATTGATCTTATCTTTGCCGGAGGCATGATGCTGCACGTTTCCCACAAAACACTAATATTTGACATGACTCTGTTCAAGCGTGGCTGGAATTTACTATCTTGATTAAAATGATAAGAGAGCAGTTTTCCTACAGTATCTGAAGCGCTGCTCAGAAGTCCCTCTTAGATTGAATCACTCAGTTTGGATTGCATCAGTTATAACAGCTGATTAACTCTCAGGGTGACTGTGGTCTGGGAAAGAGACGGACTGCTCCTTTAACTCCTCCACCATCAGGGGACAACATGGCGCCAGAGATCGTCTTGGAGTAAGATGATTCACTCCAGCAGT